CAAATGCTCAGTGGTTTGCACGTCAATCGCAGAACCCTCGAATGTAGGTTTCCACAGCACTTTTCTTGGAGATGTTCACAGTACTTAATAATCATGATCCTGTAAAAATCTCCCGCTTTCCTCGGAAATGAGGCAGATGTCCTCTGGGAATGCCTAGTTTCTGGGAACTCTGGCACATTTGTCAACGCTGCAAAGGAAATTGCAGAAGTCTGGAGGTCTGCAGCTGCAGATCTCTCATCTGGAGACCAGGAACGCTGGGGGTTCTGTAGATCCACGTCTGGAATCTCGGTGATGTTTTTCAAAACTTTCACCCTACTTTCATAAGAAGGACTTGTTTGGGGTTTGTTTATTTTTAAGTGAAAATGAGCCGCAAAACCAAAGTGACTTCAAAGGGTCTCCCAGAAAAGTGGCAACGATGGGAATATTTACGCCGTGGAAACTGGCAAATGTTACCAGGACCCTCCTGTCTTCCCTCCCCTCAGCCCAACTCGGGTTAGCCCTTCACCAGGGCCCCGTGACCTAAAGGCCTTCCCTTTTCCAATGTCTACCATTTCAGGTATATCATACTCCTGCATTTTGAGCGGTAGTTTTTTCCCTTCATTACATCTACTTCCTTTTTTGTATTTCACAGATTCCTCATAGTTTCTGGAACATAAAAGCTTACTATTATTATGTGTGATAATAGATTCATTGACTCATTAGTCTTTACCTCTTTTCTACAATTTCTAGAGATTTGCGGCATGCGCTTGGTCTGTCATTTTAAACCACAAGCATTACCACTATAATCTTTAATAATCTCCTCATTAAAACATTATTTTTCTAAATGAAAGCTTATTTATTCATTTCTGTTGTATAGATCCCCAAATTTAAAGAACAGATTTTGAACATTGTGTTAGCATTTTTGGAACACAGCTGTCCAGTGAGCTAAATTCTCCAATGTAATTCTATTGGAATTTCAAAGGAAACGTCATTGAAACTTTTTTTTCTTATTCTTGCACGCTGAAGTAACCAGTAAATTGTTCTAAAAATGCTGTTTTGGTGCTCAGGTTTTATTGGCTGCTCTTCCAAATCTTCAGAACACTTTCCAGAGCCTCCTTAACTCCAACCGAGAAGGAATAGCCTTCTAAAAACAAGCATTGGTAGTCACCCTGCCACTGCAAATTTCAAACTTGCCAATGCTCTAGGTGCCACTGTTTTCCAAACTTGAGAAACAATGCTTTGCCTTTAAATGTTTAAATGTCATTGAGAGAGGGGAAAGAGACAATAGGGGAAATGAAAGACAGCGGTGTGAAGGCCAAAGCTGTGAAACAACAAAAGCCAGCCTGAAAGTAGAACACAGCCTGGGAGGCTTATGGAGGAGGGATAATTTACATTTAGGATTGTCTGGGCTTTTGTGAGGCTGAATTGCCAACTATGATGTTATATAAAAAATTGGCAATATGGATGAATATCCCTTATTTTAAGAGGAAAATCTTAGCAATGTACCATTATAAAGAATTGCTTCAGAACACTTCCACAAAGTCAAAATGCCTTTCAAAAGATTTCTAGGCTTAGGGAATTTGTATTTAGGATCAAATGAAAGCATTCTGGGATTTCAAGCATTTATAAAGCCATCTAACTTTACCAAATACATAGAAATTGGTCTGGTGGTTAGACTTTTTTTTTTGTATATAATGTAAATCCAAAATTCTCCCTGACTTTAAGCAAAATTCCCATGGGGCTTCTGTCTTTGGGAGCACAAGCTATTGCTGTGTTTATATTAAAGTCGAGCTTTGTGATGTCCCTTATGCGCATTATTTTAATATTCTCGTTAATATTACTTTATAATATTGACATTTTGGATTTCAATATCTGAGGTCTTTATACAAAGAAAGTTCAGCAGATTTATTAGCATTATCTTTCCTTATAAGAAGGCAGGGGCTGAAATATGTATTCTCAATTTACATGGAGGAAATGAGATAGTGAGAGCTTAAATAATGCTCCTAGTAACAAATCCAGTCTCTCATTTAGTAAGTGCGGCTCACATAATTAATTTCAAATTAGTGGGAAAATCCCAGGTCATTATTTCCTACATCTCTGTATGTATATTTTCAAATTTTATTGAGATTTAATTTACGTACAGTGAGTTCACCTGTTTTTAGTGCACAGTTTGGTTATTTTGACTAACTTACACAGCAGTGTAACCGCCACCCCACTCAAGACGTACTGCATCTCCATCACCTCCACAAATTCTCTTGTGGCGCTTTGCAGTCAAGTCTCCCAAAATCCCTACCCTCGGTAACCACTGACTTGATTTCAGTCACTATAGATTAGTTTTGTCTGTTCTAGAATTTCATGTAAACGAAATTGTGGGGGATCAGAATTTGTCACCCCAAAATGTGTCTCCTTGGCTTGATTATTTTCAAGAACAAAAGACTCAAAAAGAAATTTTGACCTTTTCCCTAACTGCCAAAAAGAATTTAAAATACAAGGCTGTCCCAGGAAGGAGCGATGGCCATACACTGGGAGGGACCTGGCTAGGCTCTTTTTTATCAAAGTTTTCTCTCTGGTCGTATTATCTATAGATGGCCCAGCAACCATTTGTTTACCAAACATTTTCTTTTCCATTTCCAAGTGAATTGCCTTCCTCCCCTCTGAAGTCTCCACCTACTACTCCCAACCTTCCCTTTATCTTTAGCTGAAGATGGAATTTAAGGTGGTGGCTTCAGACATCCTGGCGCCTTCCTCAGCTTTGCTGGGTTTCTACCATGTATACATGTTAACAAACGTTGCTGATTTTTTCCCCTTATTCTGTCTCATGTCAACTTAAATCTTAGACCAGCCATCAGGACCTAGAGGGGAGAGGAATATTCTTCCTCCCCTTTAAAGTCATACAGTAGGTATTTGTTTATGTCTTGTTTCTTTTGTGTCTTGTTTCTTTTGCTCAGTGTAATGTTTTTGAGATTCATCCATTTTGCTAATGTGGGTCAATGGTTTGTTCCTTTTAATTGCAGAGAACTCGTCTGTTTTAATATATCACAATTTATCTATTTACCTTTTGATGGTTATTTGGGTTGTTTTAGTTTAAGGCTATTATAAATGAAGCCACTAGGAACAGTTGTGTACTATGCATATTTGTGGACATGTTTTCATTTATATTTGGTAAATATTGAGGAGTGGAATTGCTGGGTCATATGCTAGGTGTATGTTTAACTTTAAGTGCCAAACTGTTTTGAATAATGCTTTTATACCAATTCACAGTGCCAGAGTTAATGTATAAGGGTGTCAGTTGCTCCACATCCTCACCAACACCTGATATTGTCAGTCTTTTGAATTTTTGTCATTCTAGTAGTTGTGTAGTGGTATTTCATTACAGTTTAATTTTCATTTCTGTGATAAAGATATTGAGCATATTTTCATGACTTTATTTTTTATTCATATATCTTCTTTTGTGAATTGTGAACAAACTTTTTGTTCATTTCAAGGTAAGGTGGGTTATCAGAATTATGTTGTAAGAATTCTTCATATAGTCCCAATATAAATTCTTTATCAGACATAATTATGGCAAATATTTTCTTCCAGTCTGTGGCTTTTTAAAATTTATTCTTGATGGTGATTTTAATTTTGATGAAGCCTGTTATGGCTTGAATGACATCCCGTCCAAAGAAGAAACCTGGAAGTGCTAACTTCCAGTGCCTCAGAATGTGACCTTATTTGCACACAGGCTCTTTAAGAAGGTAATCAAGTTAAGATGAGGTCATTAGTGTGGGCCCTAATCCAATATGTTCGGTATCCTTACAAAAATGGAGAATTTGACACAGTGAGATGCACACAGGGAGAAGGCCAAGTGAAGATGAGGCAGAGATTAGGGTGATGCCTGTACGAGCCAAGAAACACCAAGGCTGGCCAGCAAACACCCTGAATCTGGGGAGAGGCTGGAACAGATTTGCCCTCACAGCCCAGAAGGAACCGACCCTGCCTATGTCTTCACTGTGAACATCTGGCCTCCAGAACTGTGAGAAAACACATTTCGGTTGTTTAAGCCGTGCAGTTTGTGGTACTTTGCTTCGGCAGCCATAGAAAAATAATGCAAAGCCAAATTTATCGATTTTTTTCTGTTATGGTTAGAGCTTTTCGTGTCATAGCAAATTTTTTTTCTATCTCAAGTTTACTAAGATTTATTTCTGTGTTTTCTTCTGGATCTATATTATTTCTACATCACACACAGGCAAGCTTTGTCCTATCCACTGACTTTCATGTTTGGATTTTCTAATGCCTGAGGGAGTACTTGTTTCCTTGTATAATTTCTAGAATTAATCATAGTTTCTAGTGACAGTGTAAATACATCAAGTGGCCCTGCCCATCTCTTCAAGTTCAACTTGGAGTAAGTTTTAGTTCCAAGGGAATACGGCAATTATCTTTTTGGTTCCCTTCTCATTAAGGTGGAGATGATCATAACTAATATTTTAATACCGATGATGTAGTGCCCAGCGCAGGCATGTCCAGGTGCACCTAACCATTTCCATCATCCTTCCTTTACTCAGGAAGGACTATGTATGTACAGGTCAAACTGATGTGGCTCTGGGTAAATGCCCTGAAAGTATTGGCCAAGGAGCTGCTTTTTCTCTTGGATGCACAATAACACTCAAGTTTTCAAAGCACATTCTAGTGTTCTAGCACTCTACTTCGAGAAAGGACACACCACCACTGACCCACGCATCTCCACCTTGAGAAATTAGGATCTTTGTTGTAAGTTATTCTTATGGCACCTCTGTTCTTCATAGTTGGGAAAACAAATGTTTTCTAAAATCGTAAAAAGGACTGAGAAAATAGTTCCATAAATTTCTTTGTAAATTCTTCTTTTGGAATGGAATCCTCAGTGACTGATATATGTGGCCTTTGCTTTTCCATCACTGTGTTACAATACAGCATTGTTCTCTGATTCCTGAAGTTCTGTTGTGAATTAGAACCAAGCCTTCAATATGCTATCTCTGAAAACTTCCTGCAGGTCAATGTCTTACCCTTGACAGACAGGTGTCTCCATGTCACCGTTGGCTCTGGTCTGCCGATAGCAAGACACAGCAGGGTCACGCTGCTTCCCTCATTCACCGTGATATCTGAGGAGATGTTCATGATCTGGGGAGGAACTACAAAGAAAGAAAGGAGGGAAGAAACACGTGAGAATGATCCTTTGTACTCAAAAGGAGGTGCTGGCCTATAAATATTTGTACAGCATTCCTTTATGATGAACATTATTCTCAATGATAATTTTCAAACTGCTTGATTTGCCAAGGATGTGGCCAATAACACAACATTTACAGAGCACTCCTGATAGAAGGAGCTCTGCAGTGTGTCTTGTAGCAGGAGGCAGGGATGTGTGTGGGGCAGGAGGGAAGCAGCGGGACTGAAGAGACAGGCAATAGTGCTTGTCGATTGAAAGGCAAAACCGAAGGGAAAATCTTACAGTGTTCCGAGAATTCCTCTCTGTCCACATACTGCTTCCTTTTAGTGGAATTGCTGGCTTAAGCAGATACCCATGAGTAGCCCCTTACACCTTTTTCTGCAGTAACTCACTCACAAAGCCCCCCACAGGGAGTTAGTTACCATTTCCTGAGGAGTCCAGACCCTTTCGAATTCTCTGACTTTTGCACTGCTCATTCCATCCTGGAATTTTTTTCTTTCTCATTTCTTTACCTGAAAATTCCTGCCCATTCCTTAAACAGATCCTTTGCAAGTCAGTGAAATTTCCTCCAACTTGCCCAATCAGAGTTAAATGCTTTTTCCCCTAGACCCCACCTGCAACATATTGTCCCTGCTACTATTGTCACTATAAGATTATAACACCTATTTTTAATGGCCTTGTAGCCTAGTGGTTAGGAGCAGGGGTCTGGAGCTCAACTCCTCACCTGCTGAATGAACTGGGGAAAGGGAACCTGCCTCCGCCTCCTCGAGCTTTCGTTCCTCACCTGTGAAATACGAATGAGAGTAGTGGCAAACTCCTTGTCTTGTGAGTTTCAATAGAACAACGGCTTAGCAGAGTGCCTGATATACAGGAAGCCTCAATAAATGTTAGCTCCTAAGTGACAACAATAAGAATGACAACAGCAACAATAACATCCTTCATATAAACTGTATCCTCTCGTGGGCTGGGTCCAGGTCCAGTTGCCGTTAGCTTTGCAAAGGCTGACGTGATCCCTGGTCTTGCTGTCTACCTTGTCCCACCTCCAGGCCTGATTCTTAATTCAGTTCAAAGCTTGGCATTGGAAAATTATGTATTTTACATAGAGTCCTTCTCGACTTTCCCTTCTCATCGCCATTGTCCTGTCCACTGAGTTTCTCAGCAGTTTTCACATGGGCAGCTGCACGAGCCTCCCACCCGGAACCTCCCATCTGGTCTCTTTCCCATTCTGGATCTCTTCAACCTATTGCCTCCATGTGGCCAGAAAACACGGATCTTTTCAGGCAATAATGTAATCAAACTACTCCCCGACTTACTCCTTTAGCTCACCGTGGCCCACCAGACAACGCAGAGCCTCTTTGGCATGACCTAAGCCTCCTGCAGTCTAACCCCCAACCCACTGACATCCTCATCCAGGGGAGAGTCCTCACTAACACAGCACGTTGCAGACACCGGATCCTGGCCCTCCTGAGAACAGGGTAAAAGCAAAAGCACGTCCACGGCTTTGCTTTTCCTCATCTTCTCTTCATTTCCTACCTGAAAAGACATGACTCATCTTTCAAGGGACCTTGAAGGTCACCTCCCCTCTGCAGTTTTCCCTGACCTCTCCCCAAATCCTGAAAAGAGAATCACTCATCTGTCCCACTGCATTTGGTCCAAATCTCGCTGGAGGGGCAGTGAGCATGTTGTACTACAGCTGACAGCTTCCTGCCTGTCTCTTTCCCTAGAGAGGGAGCTGCTTGGGGGTAAGGATGGAATGGCATACATCTCTGTTTCCTCAGGGTCGGCACAAGGCTGACAAGGGCACCTGCCTAATTCCTCTTTGAAAGAAAGATTCAAAGAGCCAATTAACAACTTCAGGGGAAAAGCAAAACTTTCAATGGAGAATTTCAGATACGTAAACCTTTCTTAATTTTCTCTCAGACTCTCAAAGTAAAAGGACAACAGAGAGAGGAAGCTCCAAGCCTACAGTTACACTGATTTATTCAAACTGCCAGTTTAATTATGAATTATTAATTACCAAACAGGTAGAGAACTAGTGGATTCCAAACCACCCTGAGTCAGTGGTGAAGGAGAATTATGGCTGATGCTTGATTCAGACATCCGCGCAGCCTGGAGTGTGATGCTGTGGAGAACTTAGAGGTAAGCCTTCTCAAGGAGAAGCCATAAGTAACACGCAGAATATTTGAGTTCTTAAGGGAATCTGCATTAGCAAATAAATAAAAATTACCTAGCTTATAAATCTGCCATATTTTGGGTTATTTCTGCATTTGGATTTGGCCTGAAATTTCATTGCACATATTTTACCCAAAGACACACTGGGAAAAAATAGTGTGCATTCAAACTACACTGCATTCTCTTGAGAAAACTGTACTACTTGCTTCTCAGTATTTTCTAGCTTGTTAAAAAATAGTTCTGGGCTTAGACATGTCAATACTTTTTTCACTTTTATAAAGCAACAACTTCAGTGCACATTCCAAAATATTCTCAGAATAATGTCAGCTTTAGCTGGATGTGTTAGGCCATCTGAAGTTCTCTTTCTGTAGACCAAGAGTCTCCCTGGTGGTGAGGTAGACACAGCGGGGTTGGGGGGGAGTGGGGGTGTGGTGGGGGAGTGAGGGGCATGGTGCGGGCGGGGGCGTGTGGTCGTGGAGGGGAGACGATTTAGTCCTTGCAGCTGTGATGCCCAGGACAGATCTCTCAACATGCCCCAATTAGAGCCATCACTTGCACACATTTTACATTTCATCTGATAGTTTAAGGGCTCTTGGGTTAAGAGAGATTTGTGAAATTCCGTGGATAATTATCACCACCTCCTCTTTCCCCAGGCACTCAGTCAATGCCATCCATTAGGAGGCAGCTTCCTGGAGGGGAATTGGGATGTTAATCGGGACATTCCCACCAAGCCCCAGGCCGGGCTGCTCCTCATCCTCTGCAAGTCTGTAATGTTCTCTCTGTAGTTATTTTCTCAAAGGAGGAAAGAAAAGTACAGTTTCAAGGGTGTGGGTCACCGGTAAGAAAGGAAGTGCAGAGAATGAATTGGGAGAAAGGGAAGTTCTTTCTGTTCTCAATTATGATATCCTTATTAGTAATATGTAATATGTAATATGTAATATGTATTACTTATTAGTATGTAACTTGATGGTTTTTAAATTACTTGCACATGCATTATCTCATGATTTCCTCACAAATTATGAGATAAATAGAACAAATGTTCTCCCTATTAAAAATGAAGAAACTGAGGCATGGGGAGGGTTAAGTAAATTGCCCCAAATTACATGGTTAGTTAATGACAGAGTTCTTTCCATTATATTATGCTGCCTCTTTGTTTAACCTCTTATCAATGCTCCAAACGTAATATTCATATTGGCATATTTGTTTCCTCTACTTCCAACGTCCTCCTGGTGCGTCTTCCCTCACAGCACTTAGGCAGCGCACAGAGCCATCTTGCCTCAGTCGGCACACCGCATGTCACTGGGGTGGGGGTCCACCTTGCTCATCCTTGTCTCTATAGGTCCATGTAAAGACATGTAGGCAATGCTTGCCAAGGGAGATACTCAATACTTTCAATTTAATTTTAAATCTGAACAGAATTTGGCAATAGAATTATGACTGTCCTCTTGTCTCCATGATAACTTTTTGAAGAAAGAAGTACTTGGAAATGACTTTAAATGCTTCCACATATTTTGACAGGAGAACTTTGTTCAATTTGCAGACACTTCTCCATGGAAAATGAATATGTATATTGCTAGTGTTTATAAATATACAGATAAACACAAAAAACGTATAATAATCTTATTCGAAATGCCAAAATTACTTAAAGAAAATGATAGATCCTACAAGAGTCTAACTAAAGGATTACAAATAGCACCGTGAGTTGTCAGTCACATCTGCAGACACTAGGCCAGCCCTTCCTGCTGCTGGGGGTGCCTGTCTCTGATTTCATTGATGGTGGTGGGTTACAGCAGGGACTGCACGGGACTGTACAGGTGTCAGTGCACAACTACAACAACTTCAAATTTGGTCATTTTAGATAGGCAGATAGATAGATATAAACATAGATACAGGCCTAGCTAGAACATTGTCTGTCTGTCTCTCTGCATATATACATACACCAAGAGGCAGACAGACAAACAATACTTTATGAGATTGCAATCAAGTATCTTGAGGAAGAGGTAGATTTCCAAAGGTATCTTTGGGCTCCGGGTTACGATAAGGCGTTTACACCTTCTCTCTTTACCCTGAGCATGCTCTCCTGCTCTTAAATATCCCAGTACGTCTGAAGCCTGGCCCTCCTCTCCAGTCTCACGGCCACGGGTTTAGTTGAGAAGCTCATCATCTCTTGCTTGGATGTTATAAAAGTCTTTTCATTTCTCAACCTGCCACCATTTTATAACTCACACCCCAGACACCTAGCACAGTTGCCTCTTAAATATCTTGCTTCTGCCTAACACCCCCAACACCTGGCCCTAGCTAAGACTGAAAGTCCAAACTCCTTAGCAGGATTTACAAACCCATTCACAGTCTGGCCATAGCCTAAGTCCCAGCCCCTTCGCTAACAAGCAGCCCCACATATCCGAGGCTGCATCATGCTCTCATCTCTGTGCCTTTACACACACTATTTATTCTGCTTGGAAAACACTTTCCTACTTCTGTGCCATGTGATCCACTCCCTCAACACTCGAATATGAGCTCCTTTATGATGCCTTAGTTGCTCTCACTTCTGTTCCCAAGGCACTCTTGTTTATGTCTTTATCATACCATTCATCCTTGCAACTGAGCTATCCTAAGGAAGAGACCTGCTATATTTATCCTTGTATTCCTATTATATAACACAAAACCTGACATGTAGTGACGTCCTCTCCCCCACAAAGGCAGTGTACAAATGCACGGGTTTGTAAAGTGGGTGTCCTACCCTGTTGAGGGCTTTCCATCCTAGACATTCGACACTTACCCTTTCCTCTCCCT